TGACGGAGCGCCGCCTCACGCATCTATACGCGCGCGTCGTGTATTGGATGCGAGCTATCCGGATAGATGGATAGGCCGCGGAGGTGCTGTAAATTGGCCAGCGAGATCTCCAGATCTAACTCCGTTAGACTTTTTTCTTTGGAGCACAATAAAAGAATATGTTTATCGAGAACGGATTAACAATTATGAAAAATTAAAAGAAAAAATAACTGAGGCATTCGCTATTGTCACACCGGAAATGCTGCATAACGCGCAGCAAAGCTTAATTAGACGTGCGCAATTGTGCATCCAATGCGATGGTGGACATTTTGAACATCTTTTGTAATAGGTACATAACATTAATTTTTTCATTAAACTTTTAATACGAGTTAGCGCATTTTTTGCAGTTAATGTTGTAACGGTGCGTATTTTTACGCCTCACGGGCGGTGCGTAATGATGCGGAATTTCGACGGTATGCGGATTTTTCGATGCGGAATTACGACGGTGCGTAGTTAGCGAAGCGGATTCTTACGACGCGGAATAACTCGTCGGTTTGCCAGAATTCGTTCGTGTGGTTTATCGGGAGACTCCAAATTAAATATATTTTAAAGAAAAAATAAATATTTATTCAATAGAGCGTGTAAAAAGAAAACATTTATAAATGAGTACATAAGTAATCGGTTAATACTATCTAATATCTCAATGGTATAGACGGATACAACTATCGGAAATAAATAAGTAATTTCTTATCGGTTGGACGAGTAAATGTTGCGACGGTACATGTGTATAATTCTAATTGCGAACGAATGAATAATGAACGGAAAACAAACGGCGTAAATTGTTGGTGCGCTTTTGGCTGAATTATAAACAAATTAAATTATTTAATCGGTCGGTTCGTACGGTACGGAGCAAAGTAATAAAAAAATAAAGCGATACCGCGTATATCCGAGCCTTGCTGAGTCATCGACGGTTGCCGGTACGCTGTGTCCTAAGACAGTGAGAGACTTCTCTCGTGCAAGGGGTATTGGAAGTCGAACGCCGGGACACCCGACCGAGGCAGAGAACGCCCAGCCCCTAGAACGACGGAGAGTCGGAAGTCGAACGCCGAGACACCCGGCCGAGGCAGAGAACGCCCTGCCCCTAGAACGACGGAGAGTCGGGAGTCGAACGCCGAGACACCCGGCCGAGGCAGAGAACGCCCTGCCCCTAGAACGACGGAGAGTCGGAAGTCGAACGCCGAGACACCCGGCCGAGGCAGAGAACGCCCTGCCCCTAGAACGACGGGGTTATAGGAAGTCGAACGCCGGGAACACCCGACCGAAGCAGAGAACGCCCTGCCCCTAGAACGACTATCGGGATGGGAGCGAGTACGACCGGAGCTTCAGAGTGCGCCCTGAGGCTTGTCCGAGTCGTACTCGGGGAATGGGTCTCGATCTGTTCCGCGAGCCGGCTTTTTATACCGGTCGCGCTACCCCCACTTGGGGTGCTACCCTACCCGGCAGCTACCCCTTCTCGAGCTTTTACCCTCGAGTTGGGGGATCGGAATGCGGCCCTAAATGGGGGTGCTCACGTGGAGCCCGCGTGACGCTTTAGTAACAGCGCGTGCTGTTACAATGTATTTTTTTAAATTATGTCATGTTTCCAAAATTCAAACATTGCAATCCTAGTATAATATAAATTTCATGCTTTGTCAAAATTGTGATACTTTTCCATATAAGCAAACATTTATTTACTCATGTCAGTTATAAAAATGGTAAAAAATGTATAAAATTATGAAAGATTATTAAAAAATATAAAAATACAAAAAGTAAAGACTTAAATTATAAAAACACTGATAATAAACTTGGTTGTTAATGGATTCAAATTTTATAACATAAAAGTATTACATAAAAGTATTACAACTTCTTATAAAACTCAATATATCGAATAGGAACGTGTCGTTTTTCCAATAATTCTAAAAACCTTTTCTTCTTATTAGCAATTTTTAGTTTCTGTTTGTACAATGGTTGTAGGGTAAAAAATCTGTTGTGCCCTTGGTGATAGGGCACGGGTTCGGGATCTGCCGATCCGAAGAGTTAGGCCGGGAATCCGGGAATAATCCTTTGACGTTTCTTTTTCAATAAAAAACAGTCTCCCATATATTTATTGGTTTCTTGTTCTATTACAAATTCCCTTACTTCTAGGTAGTCTAGGTTCCGTCAGGAATCCTTGTCTTAGTGTGGTATCACGGAGCCCCAAGTTATTCTTATTCGCTTTTAGCGAATTGTTATAATTCGCGTTCTTCTAGATTTGTGGTCCCAACGGACATACGTCCGTTTCTTGTGATTGATAGTTTTAGACCCGC